CCGGAGCATGTAGGACTGTCCAGTATGTGTAGGTTTTCCCAAATGCGCAAATACATTGCACAACACAATCTACACAGTTCAGACTATTCAAGTCCACCTGGATTCTCCGGCTAGTTCATTGTCACTGTCTGATCAACACATGATCACAAATGGACAATGAACACTTGATCAACGCATGATAATGCTTCGGACTATATGATCCAGCTGTTTTAGCCTGCCAGACAAGTGCTAGCCTAGACCTAGACTGTCTGGCTATTTCATGTTTCAAGGTAAAAGCAAGAAACTTTCAATGCAACTTATGCTCGAAACTTTCACATTGTCTAGCACTTGAAGAGAGAGGTTCACAACCTAGCGGGCACCACACCTAGACTCTAGCACTTTCAAAACATGTTTTGACGTAATGAAGATCGTTTTAGTTGAGGTTGTTGTTGGTTTTTGTTATGATCACAGATAAATCCACAAGAGTATGGATACCGCTGTAACATTTCACCTCAGAGTATTCCAACGGTATCGAATCACAGGGAACGTGTGTGTAGAATTTAAGAACATGATTCATCAAAGGACAACAACTAAAGGTAGGTTTAGGATAAAAATGATTTCTTTGGGTTAAAGTTCTTATTTAAGTTAAGGTAAAAGTCTATCAGTTGCTTTGGGTATCGGCTCATCCTTCTGGTCTTGCCATCCGAGACTCCGGACCACAACTCTATGAGGTACCCGAGCATGAAGGATTACCCGGATAAGGCTGTCACCACCTACGACCTACCTCTAAGATCCGTGAAGCACACAACAAATGAAGGTAACCTCTAATCTAGACACAACGTCTATGTTATTGATTACTACCCTAGTCTCGGCAAAGAACTTCATTCTTCATCCAAAGTCTTAGTACTAGGACGCTTAATACAAGTAATAAGCGAGATGAGAATATTTCTTACTTAAATAAGAATATTAAATACCCAAGAGAGATCTCATGAATACTTACTTATACAAAAGAAGCATTTGTCGAGGTACAAGATTGAAGAGAGAGCCGACAACTCTGGTGCTCCTTCAGAACTCCTTCGGAGAGAATGCCGACATCTCCGGCATTCCTCCAGAGCTTCTCCTCACTCTCTCCCTATATTCCAACTATACTAGAGAGTAGCTTAAATATGAAAGTGAGTTGTACTCCATTTTGTTGTGTGTTGTGCAAATGGAATGAAACTTCCTTTTATAGCCATCTTATGATGGTTGTAAGTCGGTAGTTAGGTCGGTTAGCACCCCTAACCGCCATTAGGAACTAATGGTGAAGCACCATGTGGAGGCTGGAGATTGGGGCGCCTTGGGTGGTTCGACTGAACTAGCCCACCACCTCTAGCTGTGAGATAGGTGGGTCCCTATGATGGTGCATGGTGTATAGGTTGGTTTTTGCACTGATTTGTGGGCCCTCCAATTCGTGTACTCGCGTGTCTAATCAGCTGGAGTTTATTTCGTTGCATGACGGGTGGTTTTCATCCTTAATCACATGCATACAAATATTTACCAACATTTGTGTAAGAAATGATTAGTAATAAACATTACCACTAAGTTTGATGTTTTATTTTCAAATGCTTTTATGCAGGAATTGATGGTCGGATTTGGTATTTAAGAACCGTCAACATTTGCTCTTTGAGCTTTTCATGACCGCATCATTGGAACCTAAACTTTTCAAATACTTAGAAACCAAAAATTAGCTCCAATGATTATATTGTCATCAATCGCCAAAACTCATAAAGGGCCTTATATGCTTTCATAGCCGACACTCCAATCCCTTCTTTCTATAAAGATAATGCCCACTAAACACCTAAAGCTCCACATGCAAGCATAGTATTTATTAGCATTCCTAAAATCTACATGCAAGCATGCCACATCAACTCATTAAACACACAAAGGTCAACATGTAAGTATATAGTAATTATATCTATAATTTATTTTATTCTAAAAGTAAACATACACATGTATATCATCATTCTAAAATCACTTTCATAATATTTTAATCCAAATTATTTTATCATTTCTCCAATATCTAACATATATATCGTAGCAAAATGCAGGGCATCATTTAGTTAGTTATAGTTCAAAGCGCCAAAGTGATATATATTTTAGGGCATCAAGAATAGGGTAAGGCTGCGTTTGATAGGGTTGTGAGCTTTGCTAGTCAGTGGCATGGAAAATGAGGCAAGCCATAAGCATATGATTAATTTAGTATTAACTATTACAAACTTGAAAAATGGAATTATTTATTTTTCTTAGAAAACTTGCAAAAAACACATTGTTTAGTCGTTCGGGAAAAATGCTAACAAAAAAACGAGGTAGTAGCTCATGTAATAAGCAGTACCCCTAAGGAATATACCCAAGAAATATGTTTTGTTCTATAATATTTATTTATAATGTACCTATAATATTTATTTATAATGTACCTAGCTATCTTACTAGGGTTATGTAAGTAAAGGGTAGAAAGGGGATTTTAACTTCTCTCCCTCCTCTCTCTTTATATATATATATATATAGATATATATATAAAATATGAACCCTGGAAGGTGGACTCTATCATTCTGGCTTTCTCTTTCCTTCTTTCTCAATATCATGGTAGCTAAACATTCTCCATGTTTTACGTATGGTAACAACACCATAATACATATATATGGATTTAAATTTTGCTTGTAATATGAATCTTTTGAGGTTCAATTCTTTGTACTGGTGACTATCTTAAATAAGTTTACGCATGAATACTCTCCATTCTCGATTGTAAATATAACATTATAGATCATACGTACAAAATTATTAAGATATATTTGAATCATGCATGTACTGTTTAAGGAGCTTGTTAAACAAGTATTGTCTCGATCTAATCACACATATAAAATTTACATTTGTCAAATGCAAACTATTTAAGAAGATTGGTGCACAAGACGTTGAATGAGCAAGTGTTTTTTTATAGAAACTCTTAAGCTAATTTCACACAGTAAATTCACATATACCAACATTTCGCTTATGGCTGTCTAGTTCGATATACGGAATAAGAATATTAATGCAGAAGATTTAAGGGAATGCAATTGAAATGACTCCACATTTGGCTTATGCCTGACTAGTTTTTACAAAGGAAGAATCTCAATACAGAAAATTGAGGGAAATGCAATTGAAATAACTATAAAGGATGTTAAGAGTATATTGACTTATACTAACTTTGAAACTTCAACGAGCTTGAGAGTAGATAGGGTAGCTTGAGGAATGAAGACACTATATACGAGAAAAATAAGAATGTTTCTAAACATCATATCATCAACATACTTATAATACATAAAAAGACATACATATTATAAACATATTATCTTTTTGTGTATTATAAGCATGTTGATGGTATGATTGCTGATGAAGTTGGCATGACACATAAGATAATTCAAACTGCTTATGAATGGATGAATGAGTGATTCATGTTTATATCTCTTGCTGATGTTGATGGTATGCTCGATAATAAAATGTTGTTATCAGTTAATACTCTTTGTTGATAGTGTAATACATGATGTTGATGATATGTTTATTAATGAAATGAAATATTGTTGCCGTTTGATACTCTAGTTGTACCCATAGTTTTTGTTGCATTGCAAGCATTCTCGCGATGATTTAGAAATCTATTGTAGTAAAACACAAATGTTGTTTTGCTAACTAATCACATAAACTTGACAGAACTTAATATATCAAATGTCATTGTTTTCTTATGTGGTGACGGTGCCATAACTGATCCCCTCTCACACTTTCTGAAGATTTTACGGATTATAGATAGACTTTAAACTTTATTATGATTTTAAAGATGATGTAATGTATTATGGATAATTAGGTATGGAGCTAAAATAAATATCGTTATATTACTAACACTAACGTAACAAACATATGCTGAGTGAACCATCATTTGGCCTACAGCTCATTATAAGCTATAACGCTTATTATCGAAAAAATAATTTATAGATAAAACTTTAATATATATTATATATTCATGGAGACTTGAAAGCTAGTATAAAAATAAACTATAATAAAAAAGTTAAAATGAACTTAAAATTAAGAATTACGATTTCGAAATTACTGTAGGATTTACCTTTTTCGTTTTCAAAATATAAATCACTCCTCACCCCAAAACCGATAAACCAACCTTGCTAGGCGGCTAGCCAACTCCCAGGATATTTAATTATTTATCATTTGTAAGATACGATATTTAATAATTTGTCACTAACAGTTTATGACATATGAACCCTCATATCATCTCTTAGAATAAAGTTATAACCCACTAATTCCTAAATCTTGATATGGAAATATGATACATCATCATCCACTAACACTTATTACATTTAAGCGTCATGCAAGTATGTTATATTATCTATAATTCCTAAAGTTTGACATGCAAAGATGCTACATCATCATCCACGGACACTTATTACATTAAGCATTATATAAGCATGCTATATTATCTATAATTTAATAATTTATTAAATTTTAGAGAATTAAAATGTAAGTATGTAAAATCATCCCACATAATTCACATAATATTTCTATATTTATTCATCATTTTTTAGTATCCTATATGCATATATATATTTCATCCTCACTTAGTTCAGGTTTTTTTTTTCTTTTCTCTCATTAAGTCATATCTCATCAATTATTTTTGGTCAGATGATTAATCTATGATTTAAATTATCCCTATTCTTTTCTTCTCTCATTAAGACATATCATCTCAAATTTTTTTAACCTTTAAATATATGGTCTAAATTATTTTTCTTTTTTTTCTCTCATAAAACCACATCATCTTATTTTATATTTAAATCATCATTCTGCATACTATTTAAATTTAAATCGCATCAACTTATATAACATATGTTGTTTAAGCTAGTTTTATTGTTATCATTGTAAACTCTCGTAATAACACGCGAGATGAAATTATATGTGAGTTCAATGATAAATGTTAAATAACAACAAATAGTTAAATATCTCATCCCATCTCCCATCCCATTCCCAGTTTCCTCTCCTCGCCTCTGCTCTCTTCCCCCGTTAAGGCAGGCGATCCTGATCCCCTCTCCATCCGCCGGCGGCCGACGCGGGGGCGCGGAGGCGCGCACGCACGCACGGCGGTGTGGACGGCTCCTCTCCTTGCCGGAGCCCGGCCTCCTTCCCTGTGCGGCCTCCTCGCCCCGCCGGCGAGCCTCTCTGCTCGAATCGAACCGGAGGTATACCCCATTCCTGCCTCGTAGCCCTCTCTCTCCCTCCCTCCCTCCCTCGCTCCGGCGCCGCTTCATGCGCCGGCGAGACCTGGATCGGGAGGAAGACTCGGATCGAGCCGGTGGGGCGCGATGAACAGCCAGGGATTCGGTCCGGGCGGGAGCCCCAAGTCGTTCCGCTACCCTAGGGCGGACTTCGATCTCGAGTCCGGGATCGCCCGCAAGGGCTTACGCAAGCCCAAGAACCACGACGCCCCCGGTTTGCTCACCTCCACGCTGATGAAGATCCGGTACTTCTACGAGGCGCACCCCGTCGCGGTCGCCTTCATCCTGCTGTCCTTCGGGCTCAGCGTGCTGATCCTCCTGTCGGTGTACGAGACCCGGTTCAGGATGATGCGGGGTTCTTCGGGTGAGGTCGGGGAGTATCCGCTCCCGGAGCTCCGCAACCTTGTGATGGTGGCCGGGCATTCGATTTACACGAGCGAGAGCTGCGGGAAGATTGATCGCGAGGACTCTTGGTTCTTGGAGCCGTATCAGAAGCACCCCGGTCAGGCGGCCACGTTCTTGGCGCATATCAAGGAAGGCGTGGGTATCGCCGCGAGGGATGAGAAGGCGCTTCTGCTGTTCAGCGGCGGCGAGACGAGGAAAGATGCGGGGCCGAGGAGCGAGGCTCAGAGCTACTGGACTATCGCGGATTCGAAAGGCTGGTTTGGTGAGTTTGGCTGCTTTAATGGTTTTCATCGGGTCGCCGCAATACTAGTTTTATTGACACACTGGAATTTGAAACTGCATTGCCAATTGTTCTTTTGCTTATTGGTCTAATCATAGCATTGTTAGATGTACAATTAGATATTAGTTCTAACCACTAAATTCTCAGTTGCTCTGAAAAAGAGCAAAACAATCATAATTCTTTTCAATGAGTAAAGGACTTACATTTATGTTTAGACACATATGCGTGGGAACATATATATAAAAGCCTTAACAAAGAAATGCCGTGCTAATGCTTTGGAAGTGGGAAATAAAAAAGGAAATAGTTTATTCATATTTTCTGCAGGTCACTGAGCAATTCCTTGAAACTTAGAATTCTCTGGTTATGATAAAAATAAAGTTTCAGTGTATGAGTATAGAATCTCAGGAAGATGGATAATGAAAATATATATGCTCATATAAGTAAATGATCTCTGAAGTTGATGGTATTTACTTATTGGAGTGTAGTAATATTAGCATCAAATTGAATTTGCTATCACTGATGACTAAACGACTTAATGACTATCCTCTGTAACTACTTATAGTTTGCTTGTATATGCACAGGAAATGATGAAAGTGTAAGGAGACGGGCACTCACCGAGGAGCATGCACGTGATAGTTTTGAAAACCTCCTATTTAGCGTTTGCCGGTTTAGAGAACTCACTGGAAGTTACCCGCAAAATATAACTGTAAGATTTCTTGTCTTGCTATACTTTGTTCTCAAAACCTCCTATTAGGATTTATCATTACGCAATTAGTAACCCTGTTGGCTGGATTATGTATTTCAAACTTATTGATGCCATTCACTAATCTGCATCTCAACATTTCTTTTCTTAGGTTGTAAGCTATGATTTTAAGGAGGAAAGGTTTGCGCAATTGCACAGATCTGCTCTTGGATTCCCTGAAGGGAGATTCTTCTTCTTAGGTACCCCTGCTACACTGACTGCAAGGGAGTCTGCTGTCAAGGGTGAAGCCGCTGTTAGATCTCAGTTCCAGGAAGATCCTTATGGATGCTTAGGTTCTCTTCATATGAAGAGGCTTAAGAGGGATCCATTTCACCGTGCCATTCCATATCCGAATGGTTGCCCTGAGCTGAAGGGTCTGTTCTCATACTGTGGTCTGGTGCCTTACCCTGGGCAGCTTCCTTGGACCCAATAGCTCGAAGGATATACGAACCTTGGACTATACAACCTTCTTTCATTGCCTCGGCTCTGAAGTCTGAACTGACAAAATAACTACTTGTGAAATGTGATGTATTCTTCCTGAATCCTGACTAAGACCACATTTACATTAGTGAGATTGTTTTTTTGTAACGGTGTATATCACATGATCAATATATGTTTTTTCAGTGTGATTTGGCATCTCTGTACTAGGAAACTTGAAATTATTAGTGAAAACAATGTTCTCTCTCTGTTTTTTTTTAAAGATAAATGTTCTCAATCTACTGGACATTGTAAACTGTTATTACCATGGTATATATATATATATATATATATATATATATATATATATATATATATGTGCCGGTCAGAGCTGTTCTGTACTTGGAGAAAGAAACAATTTGTTTGTGATACACTGTTCTTCAGTATAGAACAATTTGCATCTGCTATTGTAGTGTACATTTCTGTGCCATACGAGGTGAGAGATTCCTTTCCCCTTGATGTGTTGCATACTTCTATTGAGCATCAATTTGATTGTTCAGACCCTGTACTTAAGGTTAATTCAGTCAGGTCTGATTTCATTTTAGAAATTAGAACAGCTGCAATTACTATGTCATATTTGGATGTTTTGTGTCGATGACTGACTTCTATTGTATTCAGCTTTGTTAAGGAACTCATGTCTGACTTAGTTTAGAACAAACTCTCCCTAAACTTTGGCTCCAGAATGCATATTAACAGACATGTTTCGGTGAGAGTTGGCCAAGATGTCATGCTGAACATTTCACAAGTATGTCTTGTACTTAATAGCGGTACAAATATAATCATATTGCTATTGCTACTAATAAGGTAAAAGTACAAATACAAATGGATAAGCTTCTTTTACTAGGTAGCACCCAAACTTTTTTAACTGATTCATCAGGCACATTATATAATGCTGAAAGAACCCCATTCCTTGCCCGACAATGATAACACCGAAAACTATATTCATGCAATACATCTTAGTCATGGCTGACAGTGTGGCATCCTTCAACAAAGCAATTTGCTTAAATGCTTCAAGGTCAGAACAAAATGACAACCTATTGCTGTTTACACAAAATGTCAAATTCAGCATTTTGACCATCCAATAGTGATAAATAGAGTGCAAAGATCAAGCAAAGTTAATTGCTGAAAACCATTTGATTGTTCCTACCCTTTCTCTAACAGGGTGTGAGTTGAATTGGTTGTGGATTCGTGTGAGATTGGCTATTGCTTGGAAGCTGTCAAAATTTGCTCATCTCGTTGCTGAAAGCCTGTCACTTCTCTCTCCATGGAAGCTTCAGCTTCTGAAGAATTTGATTGGAAGCCAAATTCACGTGCATTTGCTTGCGCAAGAATTATCTTCAGCTACTGTGATTCTACAAAACTCACGCAAGCAAGATTCAGTTAACCGCCACATCGAACTTTTGAAGCCCCTTAGATCAGGTGCCGTTGGTATTACAACTGCACAAAACTGAAAGCAATCTAGGCCATCTGTATTTTCATCAAACAGATCAGATTCGCTGCTACAAAGACACGAAAATTATAATTTTTGCTACAACAAATAGGTGCTACAGTGATGCATTGATCTGGACCCTTGATTTCTTATCCTGTGATCCTAGCGCAACTGCTTAAGTTGCAGTTACACTAGCAACTGCACCGGATCCTCCCAAGCAGGAGAGCTGAAGAAGGCCAGAGGCAATGGAGACAAGCCGTACTCATAAACTGTTTAAAAAAACATTTGAGAGTTCAGACCCCCAGAAATTTAGTACAAAAGCAGGCCTTACACTGATCATGCAGCACTTCAGTAAAGGAAGAAGGCAATTAGGGTGCAAACCACTGCAAGTAATCTGGGAATAGGTGAAACAATGTTACTATATTACTACTACAGGATATATGGACAGAAGGAATGGTTGGTTTTCATCCAGTACTTGCAGTCTGATTGGTTGCCCACATTCCCTAATAAACCAAAACGGCTTATTAGGGAATAAAAATTAATTTATAGGTAAAACTTTTGTATAGGTATTCTTAGCGACTTAAAAGCCAATATCCAAAAAGTACTACGTTGAAAATATCTTAAAATTAACTTCAAAATTAAATTAAATTTATTTTTTTTTAGTTTTTGTTTTGGCTTATTAGTCCAACCGATGGAGCTCTTGGAAGAAAAACACATCGAAGGTTTGCAAAGGCACAAATTGGTCCTTGCCTTTGTACTTGAAAGTGATAATATTGATGAACAAATCTCAGCAAAAAAAATGCAGAGGCAACCACAAACTAATTATATTGCAGGAGCAAAACATAAATAAGCTTGTAAAATATTCCGCAGCAAACCATTTTTTGATATGTATTCTACAAAAGAATTAACGCAATTACAAAATCTGTAACCAGACACTAGCCCAAAAGCGCAACCAAACATTAAAACAAAACTAAGGTACAACTAAACACAAAAGAAACCACATCAGTTGGCCTATGTACCGTGTCAATACAGTTGGCATCAGATCCTTTGGAGCATCTTGTAGTCTCAAGATAATTTTCAAAATTGTGATGTAGAACTGCCACCAAGAAACACTGATATAATAATTTCACTTCACATTGTAGTTAGTATGCAATCCATTCATGCCCCTGAATAAAGTTCTCTACTGAGTAGACTCCTACAAATTGTTCTGGTGCCTGGCTGCTCCACTCAACCCTTGCCGTGTGATTTGCACCAGGCCCTCGACTGTCAAACTCCCCATAGTATAGCGTCCTGAGTGCGAATTCCCCACGCCAAGGAAGCCATCCCACTGGCCTGACAACCTTCCCCAAATAACATCCGGCATACACTGTAATTGCATACTCCTTCCATGGGCGCCCCAAATACAGCCGATAAGACTCCGGCTTTGCCCGAAACAACGCTAAGAACTCTTTGCTCCCATCAAGTGTGCAATTCCAGAACACAAACCCCGTTGTCTGCCCTGGATCAATCCTCCCATTTGCCGCCACCACATTGCGCGCGCTCTTTCGAGCTCCCTCTGCCCGTGGCACCGTCTTGATCACGCATTCCTCAAACACCGCCGCTGAATTCCCGAATATGAAATCGACCGTCCCCGTGATACGGCACCGGCGATACAGCTGCCGCATCGTGCGAGCATACAGTGTGTCCTGGTGGCCGCGGAACTCGACGTTCTCCAGCACCGACCGGTCACTGTCTGACCGGAATGCCACCGCCTGATGAGCTCCCGCACCCGCGCCGTTCTCGAATGTTATATCCTTTGCCCGGAAACCATCACCGATGACGGCAACAGTTGCAGTTTCATAGGTACCAATCCCATCAATCCCCACACTCCGCGAGGCAGTGATCACGGTAGCACCAATCCCATCACCCACCAGCAAAATGTTGGTCTTCTCATACGGAATTACCACATTCTCCTTGTATATACCTGCAGCCACCTTGATGACGAAATGCCCCGCGGTGTGGTTCGGCGCCGCGTCAATGGCGGCTTGCACGGTGGAGTAATCGGACCGCTGCGTCGTCGCTGATGGGCTTGCGTTGCAGACGGTGGCGTGCGCGCGGAGGGTCGCCGGAAAGGCGGCGGCGTAGGCGTTGGCGGAGGAGGGTTTGGTGGTGGCGGCGGCGCCGGGTCGCGGCGGGGCGAGGGAAGCGAGGAAGCGGGAGGTGATGGGGTGGGAGGGGAAGGCCGGGAGGGAGAGGAGGTGGGAGCAGTCGTACTGGTACTGGAGCGAGGCGGAGGCGAGGTGGAGCGCGGCGGGGTGGTCGCCGGAGTCGAGGGAGGCGGCCGCGGCGCGGAGGCGGTGGAGGGAGAGGGACAGGTGGTCGGCGCAGGGCCGCGCGTAGGATCCCGGCTCCGGGTGCGCCGCGATGGCCGCGCGGAGGAGCGAGGCGGGGTCCGACGACGCGCGGGGCCCTCCCGGCGGCGTGGAGGGGAGGATGATGAGCAGCGCGAGGAGCAGGAGCACCGCCGCCGCGGAGGCGACGGGGAGGAGGCGGCGGCGGCGGAGTTCGTGGCCGTGGCCGTGGCCGTAGCCGAGGGAGCGCGGCATTCCGGCGCCGGCGCCGGCGCCGCCGCCGCGTCGGAGAGAGAGGCGGTGGTCGTCGTCGTCGTCGACACGGGTCACGCACCCAGATTGCGTTTAACTACTCGGGATATGGGAAAGCGGTTTCGTATTCCGAAGGCGTATTTTGCAAAATGCGCTTTCTCCTTTGGTTTGTGCACTCTGTAGCTTACCGATAAGTCTGATAAGAACGGCTGCTTCCATTCCATGCCGCTTGGTTACTCGCATACACACACTGGCGCGCGCGCGAAATCGATAATTCTGCGATGGATTTGGTCGCGGGAGGAGTGATTCGCGGACTCCCGTCATCCTGGGAACGCATCAGATCGCCGAGGACTCCGCTCTTTCTCAGTTCTTGGGCTTCTCGCCGCCGCGTTGCTTTTGCGGCGTGCTCGTCATGCCCGCTGGTTGTTTGTCGAAATGCCTCAGCGGTGGTGCCGTTCGCCAAGAAAAAAAGGAAGGGGGGAAGTGAGGAGCCGCCTGATGAGGAGGAGGGTGATGATTTTGTTGATGAGATGGAGGGTGAAGACGATGATGATGAGGAGGAGGAGGATGTTGATGATGATGGTATGGCTGGCAAATTCTGGTTATATCTCTTTGTTTTGTTTGTGGGAATCTTTCAGTACTGGGCAGAGGGGGGGAGGGGGGGGGGGCTGTTTGGGTCTCTGCATTTAGCCTACATTTCTTTCATCATTCGGTCTGGAATCCTGGATGTTCATATGGGCATGCATTCTGAATACTAGATTATATTTAAGGCCAGCTACTCGAGTAGATTATATGTAGACAGAGGCCATAAATAATGCTGCAATATGTGTGCGAACTCATTCCGTTAATTCGAGAGGTCCGTGGTTCTGAGTCCTGATGCAATTAATTGGACATAGCTTGCCAAATCGGCTATCGTCCCAAAATTGACCTCCTCATTTCGGTCTATGATTCTTGAACAGATAGGATTCCTTGCTTTCATAGCCCATTGTTAGTTCACCTTGATATTTCTAATTACAAACAGTTAGCATGTGCAATAATTAATTTGAGCTGTAGAATAACCGAATAGTTAACGTCTTGCTGAGTTTATTTACACAGTACTCAATCTTTCAACAGAAGCATCCTTGCTTGCTAAACCTGCTAATATACACCCTCAGCTATCATGAAAAGTTCCAGTCCATTGACCTACCATGTAGTATTAGCTATTTTAAAAAAGTAACTGTACCCCTCAAAACATGCAGATCTATTGGATGATAACGAGGATGATGATGATGACTATTCTTTTGAAGATGATTTTGAGAGTGATGATGAACAAGATCTTTATGTAAGTGATACTTTTACCTGTTGAAAAATGCAACCTTTACCAGAGAACATTGGAAGATGGAGGTCCTAAAAAAACATTGACCAATAGCCATACATTTTCATTGGTAACTGGAGGTTGGGGATGGAGGTGCTGGTGGCGGAATATCACTTGCTGGCACATGGTGGGATAAGGAAGCATTGGCTTTGGCAGAGGAGGTCTCAAATTCATTTGATGGAGACTTAAAAATTTATGCTTTCAAGACAGCTGCTAATTTAACCATCAGAGTACGCATTGAGAAGATGTCAACCAGGTATATATCAATATCAGTATCTATGCAACAATATGCGGTATTTACAGTTTTTATTGTGTATGTCCAACCATGTTTTTCAAAGATATAACATGTTATGAGTTAGTTGCATATATCACTGAGGTCAAAGGTTTTTTTTTTCCTCTTTTTGGTAGCTTTGTTCTCAGTTTAGCACCATTGATCTAAAATTTCTCATGAACCACATGCTATTAGGTATGGTTCTCCAACCATAGATGATATCGAAGCGTTCACAATTGCATACCGTGCAAAGATTGATGATGCAGAGTCAGCAGGCAGGATACCACAAAACATATCCTTGGAGGTATGTGTTGTCCCTCTAGGTCTCACTAACCATATCCAGAATTAGTTAATGCCTTCTCCAGATGATCTCTGGAAGAAGCTAACAACCTTCAATAAATTCGTAATTGTTTATGTTGTACTTAGTGATAAGGCATACTTCCATTGATCACTCTGAAGGTGTCATCCCCTGGTGTGGAGAGGGTTATCCGCATCCCTGATGATCTTGAACGCTTCAAAGAACGGGCCATGTATGTCAGGTACACCATTACAAGCGACGGCGGAGAAGGGATGACGCCTCAGGAAGGCGATGGAGTTTTCAGGCTCATCTCCTACGACATGGACCTGTGCGAGTGCACCTGGGGTATAGCTGATGTGAAGATCAACAGGCAGCAGGCCGGCAAGGGAAGGCCCCTGAGCAAGAAGCAGAGGGAGTGGCGGCTGCAGACGCCATTTGAGTCACTGAAGTTGGTCAGGGTGCATTCTGACTGCTGACTGATCAGATGCCTCTTTTGAGTAAATTTTTGTAGCCATCTGTTGTAATTTTGTATCATAGGTAAAAGGTGCTCTGCCATTGTGTGTGTGCAGTAGCTATATCTGAAAAAACGTTTGTTATAGCAAGTGCCAACACCCAACAGTTACATTCAGTGATCGACGAGATGAGTTTTTCTCCTCCTCCTAATGTGAATAACCTCTCCACTAACCGTTAGAAAATTAACAGATGACACCTGAAGTTTAGTTACATGCATTTCATGGGTTCGTAGTTCGTTCGTTGTTTAATTTCCCAGAAGCTATTTTACATTCCACTTGTCTTATACTTATCTCTTCTCAACGACAATATGATGATAATGGATTGCTTGTTCCAGCACTGAATGTGCTGCCAAGTAAAGTCCATCTTCACTCAACAACCATACCAGCTAATGTTAATTAGTAATGGTAGTATTGATTAAGCCACACTTGCAGTTATTTAGTCTAGCTAGCTACCACTCCTCCATGGTTTTTGTGTACACTCAGAAAATGTCTACATGTCATCTGCACCTCTCCATCATGGACAATAGAAAAGAAAAGAAAAGAAAATTAAGGTCATAATTAACAGCATCTCTAACGCAATGGGGTTGCTTCTTGCACTTCACATAGTGTACATGCATGCTCTTGCTTGTTGGACCAAGCCCTGGATTGAGACTAAAAACTGTAAGTGTCAAGTGTCAACCTCTTGCTCTCCCAAGCTATAAAAGTAGCTCAAATGTGGACTAATCTCCATGTCCATCCCATAAATCCCTCACACAAACTGCCACACATATCAAGAACAAAACCAAATTTCTCTTAAATATATATAGCTTTAATGGAGGGCGAACGATCCTACGTCACTCCGCCGCCCCCTCCGCCGCCGCCGCCGTCGCCTACGACGCACGTCACGGTGATCGTCATCGTGGTCCCGATCGTGGGCGTCATCTGCCTCGGCCTCCTCGCCGCGCTGCTGTTCGTCGTCTTCAGGAGGCGGCGGCGCGCGCGGCGCGACGAGGAGGAGGAGGAAGCGAAGGTGGAGGAGGTGGAGGACGTGGAGGTGAAGGTGACGGAGCACGTGCGCATCGTGGAGGGCGTCGTCGGCGAGGCCGGGGTCGCCGGCGTGGCGGCCGGTGGGGCCATCGGCTGCGGAGGCGGAGGCGGCGGCGGTATAAGTGGCGGCGCCGCCGCGGTGGTGGCGGAGGCGGTGGCGGCCGGGGCGGTGGTCGTCGACGACGAGATCAAGGTGGAGGAGCACGTCGTGAAGGTCACCGAGGCGTCGGCTCGGCGAGATCACCATGATCATGAATGATCGCTCTCATTGATCAGTGTGCTTAATTAGCTAGCTAATTAAGCTAGTTGCATGCAGGTGCATTCATATGGGTGGATGGATGGCTTTGCATGGTGAAAAGGTGTTTGGCAATTGTGTGTCGATGCTGAATTGCTTGTGATTTAATTGTGTGGTGGATTATGTACTTTTGTTGGTAGTTATATGTAAAATTTGTATTCTTAATTATCTGATATGAATGAATTATTATCCTTCCATTGAAATGATTTGTTTTCACGAACGTGCAAAACAATTACATGTCAATATATTAGAAGAAAAAAGTTTTTGTTTAAACAATGGAATCAGCCAGACCAACTTATACTAAAGGGGAGGGAGAAAAGACAAAATCAAGAAAAACCAAGGAAAAGAGGAAGAGACTACTACGACGGCTAAATACAACTCCAATCAGCGGGTATGGGACAGAGCCACACTACCCTCACAAGAAACCCCAAAAAAGCAACGCCAGCTAACGACCATAGATGGCTCTAAGTGAGGATGGACTCTAAAACTACTAAGATTGAAGAGAGCGCATTGGAAAGATTTGTCGAAAAGAAAAAAAATGTGTCAATTGCTGGATTAATTCTTGAGTGTTTATAAAAAAATATACATTTTTAGGTTAATACTATCTCCAGTGTTAAAGGAGATTATCAATATTTTTTCTCACTTTTTAAAATCAGTCATATCACTTTGGCGATTAACGACCGAGAATTTTACAAACTTGAATTTTTAAAACTAGCATGGTGGCCCGTGCAGATTGCGCGGCTAGCATCATTATATTTTCTATCTTATAATAATATATATGTTTTCTCAATGTATTATTCAAATATATTAAAATGACAATATAATTTTGCGTGTCTGATGAGAACGAACTTCCAATATTCCTTTTTTAAATTTCTAATTTTAGTACTCCAAATTCTACTTTAATTTTATTAGTTTTATTGTGAATTTTAAATTCTTGTATGGATTATATACTCTTCTTCCAATATTCCTTATTTTAATTCCTAATTTCTATTATTTCTAAATTGTATTTCTATATATGGATTCTAAACTTATCTTTCAATATTTTTTAATTCCGAATTTTAATTATTTTTAAATTCTATTTCTATAGGGACTCTATAGTCTTCATCCAATATATTTTTTAATTTCGAATTTTTTTAATTTCTAAATTATATTTCTAGATGGACTCTAACCTCTACATTTATTTTTTCTTATTTTTTTAATTCCGAATTTTAATTATTTTTAAATTCTATTTCTATATGGACTTTATAATCTTCATCCAATATTTTTTAATTTCGAATTTTTTTAATTTCTAAATTATATTTCTAGATGAACTCTAACCTCTACATTTATTTTTTCTTATTTATTAATTTCAAATTTCTATTAGTTCTATTTTATACCGATATGGACTCTAGTCTTACCTTCCTATATTTCTTATTCTTAATTCCGAATTTCAGCTATTATTAAATTGTATTCCTCTATGGACTCTGTTTTTTCTTTTTCTCCGATTAATGTGAGAATTTATAGGCCATGAGACCGAATGTGGATGCTTTTTTTTCTATTCCTTTAATAATATAATAGATTACAGCAATTACAGAGAGAAAAATCTAGAGACCATTTAATTAATTATATATGCACTCACTCCGGGCAGTATTACTTGTCGTTTCCGATAGACAAATACTACTAAGTGCAAGTCAATTTCACCGCTTGAAACATCATCTATTTCTATCGGAATGGAGCAATTAATATTTAGTTAGCCAGATTATAACGGTGTGGATTCATTATTTAATTCATTACCATATAGCTTGCTAGAATTTTACAAGTAACACTAATATTACTCATGCATAAATGCCTAAATATTTGGATAGAAGCTCTAGGATGCATGGTGAAAAGGCTGAATCTAAAGGGATATTCCCTCCAGTTATAATGTTTGACGTTATTTACTTTTAAACATGCGTTCAATCATTCATCTTATTACTCAACAACTCTATGTGAACATGCAAAAAAAAAATCACACTTCAAAAGCTTTAGTGATAAAACAAATCACAACAGAACAAGTGGTAATTACGTAACTTCTTAAGTAAGATGTTGCTTTGATAACCCGTTACTTATTCTTCCTCTCAAAGGGTAATCTTTCACATTCCGTCAAACAAGAAATAAAAAAAAACCAGAAAACCTATAAGCTGACGCCAAAGATTCCATCAAAAAACACCATATTTTAATTGTGCTTTAACTATATCAACTGTACTTGAACTATCGGATAATCATAGTTGATGATAGCATCACGGTTCCCACCGCAAATTCTAAAACCGTACATGAAACCTTAGCTTCATGAGACGAGACTTCTCTGTGATAAAAAAAAGTCAACAGCAACATAAAACATAACAAACCAAATGGTATATATACTCCTACATCAAGAAAAATATACAGGGGATAATCGGTTCAGCTTTGTTGCGGCTAATCGGTTCAGCTTTGTTGCGGCTGCGCAGCCGCAGCACTGCAACAGCTCCAATATATTCAAAAATATACTGTTGATACTGTAGGTACAGAATTACAGCACAGCTGCAACCGCAGCCAGCTATACCGATCAAACCTACATATATATAGATATACCTTATCTTTATCTCATGCATATATAAACTTAACTAACTTAACTAGTAGTATGATCTATCCTTGTGTAGTTGTGTTAGAAAACATGCAACAAATTAGGGCCCCTTTGAATCAAAGGATTTATATAGGAATTTCATAGGATTTAAATTCTATAGGAAATTTTCCTATTTGGCCCTTTGAATCAAAGGATTGAAGATTTCCAAATCCTATGAAATTCCTATGGAATGACACATTGCATGTAGATTTTGGAGGAAATTTAGCAAGAGCTCCAACCTCTTGAAAAATTTCCTTTGAGTCTATCTCTCTCATCCGATTCCTACGTTTTTCCTGCGCTCCAATCAAACGACCATTCCTGTGTTTTTCCTGTATTTTGCAATCATCTGTTTTACACTTCAATTCCTGTCAGAATCATATGTTTTTTCTATTCCTCCATTTTTTCTACCCTGCGATTTAAAGGGGCCCTTAATGGGTGTGTAACTGTGGGTGGCTTGCATGTGTACTGTAACGGTGTATCTTTCATATGTGTACTTACGCGCGCGTGCTTAGCTTGGTCGTTCTCCAACAATCCAGTAAATTAAATTCCCAAGCATGATTAATTAATTGTTACGTTATTGTCTATGAAAGTGGCTATGTTAATTTCGATCTTGCATATATCGCGAACGATATATATGCTGCGTTGATCAATAACGCATGTGCGCTGGCTTTCTCCGGTCGTAATAAGTGTGGGTGTGAATCCAAGCGCGAACGCTAGCTTGAAGGAACCGATTGTTACATATACCATTGTAAATTTAGTTAAAATTAATTTTCTTATTAACCATGCATGCAAGTGTATATATCATATATATACTGAAGTAAAAGAATGAAACAAATTTATTTATTCAGGCCATATGGATAGCTAGGGTGCATGCATGCATGTCAACTTAATAAGGGATGGAATTAAATTCCCGGCCCAATCTTCATTCTCTTCAATTGGCAACTGGATCTTAAGACATTCCAAAAAATACTAAAGATAATTGACCAGACTATCTAATTACAATTGCTTCTGTTTTGTACCAAAATAGTTGACCTGACAAACAATGTGCGTGTGCCTACATCAGCCGATCGAGCCGCCTGATGATCAGAGAAGCTGACAAATAACTGTTTATCTTACTTAATTAGTTGTTCTGTACTAGTATCCTAACTAATGTAGGTAGCTTCCCCAATATTGCACATGTTCTGTACTGTGCACTTTATTTTTTCTTGAGAGAAGTACTCTCAGTTTATAATATACTCCCTCCGTATTTTAATGTATGACGCCGTTGACTTTTTAATAAACGTTTGACCTTTCGTCTTATTCGAAAAATTTATGTAATTATAATTTATTTTATTATGACTTGATTTATCATCAAATATTCTTTAAGCATGACATAAGTATTTTTATATTTGCATAAAAAATTTGAATAAGACAAGTGGTCAAACGTTGATTAAAAAGTTAACAGCGTCATACATTAAAATACGGAGGGAGTATATGACTATATATATATATTGCATATGTATATATAAGTATATGACCGAACAATTGTTCTTAGCTAGCTAGTGAGCTATCCCTTCACGCAAAACAAGTTGACCTACTTACCACATACTTTTACAACTTATACGAGTTATAAACTCATGAGTCATGACAGTTGCCACATCTCATTTGTGATAGTAATTAACCCCCAAGTTGGCAAAATACGTATGCTCATCACAAAAAAATAAGTAGTTCGTGTATATGCTGATATATGAATGCATGATAGAACTAAGTAATAGCTTGCTACTAGCTTTTCTTATTGTTTATAAAAGACCAACTTTGCAAGCTCAATTAATGTAATCTCACGCTCTATCCCCCTCTATCTAAGCAAACTCTAGCTAATCTTCATGTATTTGTATACTGTAAGCTAGTGTGTACAAGTGCACAATTAGTATGTATAGCCAATTAGACACCATCTCATATGTGTGTTGAATTAGCCAACAAACTTAATCTTATTGGGCAATCGATATCTTTAGGTTTGCAGAGAAACTTACCTGGTGAAGTACATTTTCGTAGGTAATATATTATCCAACAATTGAAAAATAATTTTAATCTTTCGAGGGGACATCTCCTTATTTCTTGCATCTTATTCAAACAGTTATGAAAAAAAATAAACTTTTTGATAAGATAGATTATTAATATTATGTGATGTAATAGTTCACAACTTCACAGATATACAAGTTTAAAATTAAATTGTAAAAGTTGAAGAACAACAAATTAAACTCTAGTATGTATATATTTATAGTCATAATCCGCATGTTCTTTAATATATGATGTCGTTGACTTTTTAAGATATTTTTGTCATTCAACTTATTTTAAAAAAAGTAACCATCAATCTATTTAGTTGTGACATACTTTACATTAATAGTTTTTTAAACATGAGTTATATTTTTTTAATTAACACAAGAATTTTGAATAAGATGAATAGTTTAATATATGTTAAAAAGTCAATGGTATCATATATTATAAATGAAAAATATTTTTGTTTTTTTACCTTGTAAAAGTTAAATTATTTGAACTTGTATGCTTGCACAGTGATATATCATATATTAATATGTTTTTTATTTTTTCTAGCTATTTAAATGGCATATTAAAAAACAATAGAACATCATTCGAGAGTTTAGAATCCATCCCCATCAAATTATAACTAACGAGTTGCTTGTGTATCACGTTGCATATGACGTGGGAGTAGTAACAGGCAAGTTAGGACCAAGCACACCAAGCAAGCAGAAATGCAGAATGCATGTGTTTATCTGAGTCTGACTAATAACTATATATGGATTTAATTTGTGTACACTCTTCGATCTACTTGCAATCTTTTAAGCTAGCAGCAAGCCATTAGCTCAGGTATATATCTACTACGTATACCAACTTAGTTAGTACTACCCAACAAGCATACTAAGCTAGCTGAAACAGTTACAGATCAGGCCTACACGCTTCACTACTGTCTCTCTGAATTGAATTTGCGCGCGAATGGCTAGAGGCAATTCCGAATTCGTATCGTTTTGGCGCGTCGACCCGCCGCCACCACACTGCCCGCCTCCACCACCGCCGCCACCTCCACCTCCTCCTCCACCTCCACCGCCACCGCCACCGCCACCGCCTCCGCCTCCACCGCCGCCACCGCCACCGCCGCCGCCGCCACCACCGCCGCCGCCACCGCCGCCGCCGCCGCCGCCGAACAACATCGTGGTGATAGTGGTCGTCCCGATCGCCGGGCTGCTGTTCCTCGGCCTCCTCGCGGGGCTGTTCCTGCTGGCGCGGGCGCGGCGGCGGCGGAGGGCGGAGGCGGCGGAGGAGGAGACGATGGAGGAGGTGGACGACGTGGAGGTCGCCCACCACGTGCGCGCGGAGGAGCACGTGGTGGCCGGGCCGTCGGGGGAGATGCTCAAGGTGCTCGACGTCACCGACGAGGTCGACGTCCACGAGCACATCGTCCGCCACGAGCACGAGCACGAACGCCATGACGTCGTCGAAAGGGAAGGATGACCATGGATCGATGCCATGGTCTCTGATACTGTCAGTCTGTCAGTCTCTTCGTCGATCCAAGCATGAACAGAAACCTGATTTGTCTCAATTAATTAATTAGCAGAATTGTTAGTTAAACTGTGTGGATATATATGTAAGAGTGTGTGTGTGTGTGTGTGTGTGTGTGTATATATATATATATATATATATATATATATATATATATATATATATATATATATATATATATATATATATATATATAGTAAATTTGTTTGGTGCTCCATGGTGCCCGGGCACCATTGTTGAAATTGAGTATATACCCAATTCAAATGAGCATGAAACTTTTTCAATTATTTAGGTATTAATATTAACTACTTTACTAACTAGTTGAAAGCAAGTTTGAACTGAATTTGAACTTGTTTTTGTTAGATTTTGATTCTAGGTATATAGCATCCATACATATAATTAGTTAGGTATGTAATCATGGATTGTGAAATAAAGTTAAATTTGAGTTGTTTTGTTGATAGGTATAGGTATGAATCGAATTCTTATAACTAGGTATATACTCACAATTTGAAAATTTTGAAAAATTTAAGTGATTTTGTGCATTTGAAACCATGGTGCCCCATATGAGTGTCCTATATATATATATATATATATATATATATATATATATATATATATATATATATATATATATATATATATGTATGTATGTATTTGCATGGAAATTTCATACCGGTTTGTCGGTTGTGTTGCGTGCGTGTGCGTGTGTATTTATGAACTTTACTTCCGCCTACTCGATTTTATCATAGTTTTCTGATCAAACTAAAGAGTTGTCATTCTTTGTCCCTTGCAAAATGATAAGTTTTCTGATAAATGTAAAAAGTTCGCATTCTTTGTCCCTTGAAAAGTGATACTAGCTCTGTTTCAGAATATAAATCGTTTTGACTTTGATTAAAATTAAATTATTTTAAATTTATAGAAAAAGGTAGTAAACATTTTCAACTCGAGACAAATATATTATGAAAATATATTCAATTATAGATTTGATGAAACTAATTTGGTGTTATAAATATTGTTATATTTGTTAACAAACATAGTTAAATTTAAGGTATTTTGACTTTTACCAAAGTCAAAACAACTTATAATCTGAAGCGGAGAGAGCACAAGGAACTTTCTCTTTCTGTTTTATTTCATCATCATTGCAAAATTAATCATTATTATTGTTTTTATCTTTTATACATATTAAATGACATGTAAGAAACAATGGGACGTATATTCCCGACCAAAAGAACACTTTCCGATCCCTCGTTATGCTTATCTGCAATTCTTTGTGTCATAGCTACAAAAATAGTAGTGGTTGACATGACAAACAAATGCGCGTACGTGCACCAGGGTGAAAACGGTCGGAATCGGTATCAGTAGCATATCTTCGGAAACAACACTCGATCGGTCGGTAATTGACCATATTTATTATTTAAATTACTCCGTATCGACATTAATACGATGCAGAAAGAAATTAGAGAAAACAAAATTTAAAAATAGTGAAAAATGGTACGACCGAAAACGGTATCCCTTATACGAAAACGATACTTGATCGATCGGGAATTTCCATCACCGTTTTCACCTGGTGCAGCTAGCGTGTGCATACGTCAGCTATAAGCCTACACTACTAGAATTCAATAGCTTCCCTAGAGTTTAAATTAGAACTCAAGGGATAATAAGAATCCCTAGGGTGACTATAGAGAACTCGAGGGAAGATTTATGTCCCCTATTGTCGAGGGAAAACCCTTAATGGCAGGGAGTCGTGAGACCCCGCTTTCGTGAGTTCGGCCGGGGGCGGAGGCTCGTCTCTCAAAATTCGCTTGTTCGTCCCTAAGATTATCAGCGAGCTTGCACACAATCGGATTATACAGGTTCGGGCCGCAATGGAGCGTAACACCCTACTCCTGTGTTTGGAATTACGGATGAAGTTACAAAGGTTTCTTCACTTCAGAGAGCATACTTGCTTCCTCTCTTCTGAAGTTCCAACCTTCATTTCTTTTCGTCCTTTTTTTTTGGCAAGGTCCTCCTTTTATAGCCTTAAGGGGATACCACACGTGCCGACTCTACCCACTCTCCACGGGGGAGGGGGGGTGCCCCCACTTCACCTTTTTTGGGCTTCAAAACGTGCCTTCTCCCAGAAGCTAACAATAACCAATTTTTGAGCGGAACCCGGCGCCGTCCCCCGCCTGACCTGGGGGATAGCCCGGTCATTCCCTCATAAATGATCGATGACATGCAACAGCCCTTCCTAGAGTGACGCCCGGATGTGACGGGTCACACCTACCCCCACTCCGCCGGGGACAAGGGCGACGTGGTGATATGACCGCCCTATCCATCGGATGTGATGGAAACGGGCCGGTCACAGACCGGTCACATCCGACGAACAGGGGTTAGCTAGGCGCGCCGCACGTCTGCCCTGACTACATTAAATGCAGCGAGGGACAGTTGGGGCGCTGCGCATTTATGGCTGCTCAGCCTGCGCTCCCCTCCGCCGCGTGGCGGCCGGGCGAGGGCCTCGGGGCGAAGGCGAGGTAGAGCCCGAGGGGGTAACGTCATACCCCAAGGCCCTCCCCGCCGCTTCTACGATTTGCGTGGCGCGTGAGTGGGGCCAACTGGCCAAGCCACACTCCCGGAGGAAAAGTAACTCTCCTCTATTTCACATACCCTCGGGCCCATATCTCCGACACATATAGTTACAATATGCAACCTAGGAAACTTATGCCACATCAGCTCTATTGTGAAAATATTGGCGCCACAGTGGCAACCAAAGTAGGTCCCACAGAAAATTTTGAAGGCAAAGCTCCCAGCAGCGAAATTTTTTGCGGGAAGGCAATATACTGTAGTAGACTAAAATATAAAGCCTCACGTACGTCATTGTCACGCCCGGAAATTCACTAGTAATTTCCGAACTTATTTGTGCATAAAATCCTCGTCCAGGAATCAGCCGAGGTACACAAACTGACAATTTAATATACAGATTCATCAAATTAACTAAAACGATAAATACTTACTTAAGAGGCACTTAGTCCTCAACATGAAGAAAACTACAGCGGAAAATAAAATCTAGCGAGGCTCCGGCTCCACTCTCACAGGCAGCTCAACTGGGGTATAAGCCAAACGTCTTCTCCTTCTGGATCCTTTTTCTTCAACTGAGGTTGATTGATTATTGCAAGGTGAGCATATGACATACTCAGCAAGCCACACAACAAATATGCAAGTGCACAAGGATACCAAAGGATGGCATAATATTGGCTCATTTGCAAAAGCAGCATTTAGCAAAACATTTAAGAGAAGTAAAACAATGGAGTAATTAATCAGAAATTTTAATCAACACTGAACAACACACCCATGCTGCACAGGCCCAACCATCCTGAACAACCATACCCGGCTGCACAGATCTAACTTCAAACCAGGAGCTAAGCAAATTATTATCAGGTATAACATCCATAATTATTGTGAGAGGTGTGAGACTAATCACGAAAAACATTGCTCAACCCGCCCATAACCGCGGGCACGGCTATTCGAATAGTTTTACTCTGGCCAGAGGTGTACCACTGTACCCACAAGACACAGCCCCACAACATGTCACCATGTGCCTCAATACCACCACGGTACCTCAGAAAGGAGCTGTGACAATACCCCTTGCACAACACAATCCACCACAGCGCACCTTTCCTGGATCATAATCACCCCCTTATAAACAAGGCATGGACTCCCCAGCGACCCCCCGTGGGCTTATCTCCGCCACTTCTCAGTCTGGTGCTCCGCAATGAACCATGCTATACAAAAGGTAAAGCCGTTGCCCACGCTGGCTTGTGGTTGGCACGGTTAATGTTTCACAATAGTAGCTCGTGAACCGGTCCTTAATTGTCATGAGCACGACTCTCAAAACCATGTGCTCACAACCCACCATTATCCAGTTTTAGTTGGCAAGTAATTAATTAACCAATCACGATTGGCCATCGTGAACTATCATTAAACCATCATTAAATAATAATGAGTCATAAGTTATCCCAATAGTGTGCTAATGTTTCTAAGCATGGCTAAGCAATCATATCTAATATCTAGCTGAACCAATATATATAGCTCAACTAGCCAAGTTATAATAACCCAAGGTATCAAGGAATAAAGTAATCAATGCAAACAGGCCATAACGAAGGAATAGGTTCACACCACCCAGTGACATTCGAAAATAAATGCACAGTTGAAATAAATAGAGAATTTAAATATAGGATCAACATGCTCAAACGATTGTGTTTAGGATCTGTGTGACTTGCCTTGCAATAATCGGTCTTCAATTAATCTTCTTGATCACTTCCGACGCACTCACGAACCTTCGCAACGACGGAAACGACAAGCTAACAAGCAAAACGAAGAAAAAGACTAATAAAAACCAAATAAACAGTACATAAAAATAAACAAACATGTAGATCATAATTTTAGATGAATTATGAGACTTGAACGGCCTCATTCTGACTTCAAATGAATTTATTATGAATTTTACTAGATTAAATCTAATTAAAGCCCATTTAAAAAGAATTAAATAAATTTAATTCAATTTATGGATAATTTTAATATGTAGATCTTTATTTTATACAACTTTTGCAACTTGAACCACATTAACTGAGTTACAATGAATTAGATATGAATTTTTAAAGATTAAATCGGATTAAAACACTTATATGGATTTTAATTGAATTATGACGCAATAATGAATTATTTTTTAAAAGGAAAAGGGAATTATTGCGTCAGCGGCTAGGGTTTGCGGTGGACCGGGTGCACGGCGGCGGCTCACAGAAACGAACGGCTGAGATCGATCCATCCAAAACGGACGGCCGAGATCGATCGGGTCTACGGCGGCTCACGGCAGACGGACCCTGATGACGTCAGCGGTGACGTCATCTCCGTCGGCGGCTCGGCGGCTCGGGCGCGCAAGCTCGCCGGCGAACGACGGCGCTTCGGCACGAACGGAGGGCACCAGGACGTAGAGCGCGACGCGGCGAACTTACCGATGACCAAAGCAACGGCGGAGGAAGGTGAACGGACGGCGGCGGCGACGAGGTCGAAGCGGCGGAGACCTTCGGCTTGATGACGACGGCGGTGCTCCGGCAGTCTACAGCGACGGCGAAGGGGCGGACGAGGACGGCG